CATTACCTGGACAAGCACGACCCGTGCCGCTGCACCTCGCTCTGTGAGTCCCTGCATCCCCAGACCTGCGGCTGGGGTTGGGGGGGTGGGGGGTCCGCCGTGGGTCTGGGTCCCGTTTAACAGAGGGGAAGGCTTCATTCCTGCCCTACCCCGTTGCTTTGCCTGGTTGCGGGGCCTCTCGTTGGCTTCGGTGGCCGCTAGAGGTCACGGCAGACTGATGGATGGAGCCGGTCCCCAAAAAGCCCCTTTGCAGGGAGCATCCCGGAGGGGCCGGATGCTGAGCAGCGGCTGGGGAGGGGGGTGCTGTACCGGGGGGGGGGTGGGTGCACGGGCAGCGGTGCTGAGCCCCGCGTTGTTCTCCCTACAGCTCACAAACAAGCCTTGAAGAGCAGGAGCCCGCAGCAGCAAGTGCAGCACGAGATCAGGCTGTGCCCAGCCGCCAAGGGCCGCGGCCAGCCCCAACCCACCGTGCTGGTCAGCCGCTCGCAGAGCCCCCTGCCCCCTGTCACATGGGGGTCCCGAGTCCCCCCCGGTCCGAGGCCCCCGTCTCCGGAGGGCTCAGGTCACCCAGTGAGTGCCAGCCCCCGCCGGGAGCAGCCCCGGAGGGTTCCTTCGGGCAGGTGAGTGATGCAGGGATGCTTCGTGCCCCAAACCATCCGCTTTGGGCAGTTTTCCTCACATCCCTGCATTCCCTTCCCTCTCCCTTCTGGAGGTGCCCGGCTCCAGGCGGGATGGAATTGGGGGGGGGGGATGCAGCATCTCCCCAGCCCCTCTCTCCCCTCTTTCCCCTTGCAGGACCCGAGAGCCACCAGCTCCCCCTTTGGGACGGCAACCGCCGCCATCCAGGTCACCCGCTCGACCCAGCTCCGCCTGCAGGGTGCCGAGCAGGGCACCCACCCCTTCCCGTGTAGCCCCCAGCGCGCAGGGCAGGGCACTGCATGGGAGCACCCCAGTGAAATCCCCCATGGCACCAGCACGGGGCAGGCCCAGGGCACCCAGCACCCGGCTGGCACCAGCACCCCCGAAACCCACCCAGCAAGGGGGGAAACTGCCTGCGGAGGCAGCCAGGCCGCAGGAAGGGGGGGTCCCTGCTGTGTTGCACCCCCGTGCCCGCAGCCCCATCAAGGTCCGTGCCCCTTCCCCACACCAGGGTGACTCACAGAGCCCGCGGGAAGGGAGATGGGGAGCCCCTGGCCGGGGCCACCCCTTGTCACCCCGAACCCCCTCCAGGCAGCATCCAAAACAGGACAGCAGCGTTAAACCCCCTACCAAAGCCAGCCCAGCCTCCTGCCGGCCCCCCACCCCAGGGTGCAAGGGCTGCGCCCCCCAGCAGTGCCACCCAGCCCCAAGCCCAAGGGCTGGGGATGCTGAGGAGCTGGTGGATGAACCGGGGGGAGCCTGTGGGCCTGCTGTGGGGAGTGAGGGGATGCAGGGATGCCGGGGGCACGCGCAGCCCCCTGGCTATGACAAGGTAGTGGAGGAGCTCTCCCGTGGGCACCAACCCCTGCGCCCTGCGGGGAGCTGGGTCCCCAGCATGGTCCCACAAGCTGACCCACAGCCCACTGTGCCCCCGGATGAGGGGCAGGCAGAGGGGTCAGCAAAGGGGGCCCAGACCCCGCGGGCAGCCAGGGCCGGCAGCGTCCCCAAGCCCCGGCGGTGCCTGAAGAAGCCTGAACGCGTGCCCTCCATCTACAAGCTGAAGCTGCGGCCCAAGGTGCGTCCCCGGCGGGACCACAGGCCAGGCAAGCGGCCCTCGCGCATCCCCACCCCAATGGGGCAGCGGCCGCAAGTCCCCCGGGGTCAGCATCGCCCCACGGGGCTCCCCCGGCACCCCCAGCCCAGCAGCACCCATCCCATGGCCAAGCCATCACTGGCTGACAGCGGTGCCTGGCTGACCGAGGATGATGAGGAGGCGTGGGTCTGACCCCCAGGTTTCAGCAGGGTTGGACCCTACACTTGTCCTAAGTGATGCTGGAGCTGGAGCTGTGGTACCCAGGGTTGGTGTGGGAAGGATGGATTTGCTCCCAGGACGCCCAAGGGGTCCCCCCATTGCTTTTTGGAGCTGCAGCCTCTCCTTCCCCATGGAGTTGGTTGTGGACCACCCTAATTCTCCTCCTCAGCAGGCGCTCTTGTGCCGGTTTTGGGTGGAAAAATCCAGCCCCAGGTTGAGAGAATGGGGTGCTTTCTGCAGGGAAGAGGGGTGCAGCTGGCCCCACAAAGTGGGGACACCTCGCACTCAGCACCCAGACGCACAGACCATCTCATACCTCAGTCTTCCCCATCTGTACAACAGGATTAACAACCCTCTTACAGCACCAAGAGCCTTAAAGACTGGAGGGAGGGGGTTCAGAGGAGTGACCCTTGCTGAGCCCCGTGGGCTTCTTTATGGTGGGAGACCCAGGGGGGCGGTGGTGATGGTCACTGTGGTGGCTGTCACCCAGGGTCATCGCCTGCAGCCATGGACCCGTCCGTGTTTGTGCAATAGAGACATACCAAAGCTCTTCTGTTCCAGCATCTTTTCCATACGGATGGGGAGGGACAGAGGATGATCCTGATGGGGGGTCATGGCGAAGGGAATTCCCGCTGTGGGTCTGTGCGTGCACAGCAAACATCCCTCTGAGAGCCCCATGGGGGCCAGAAGAACCCCATGTTCCGAGAGAGGAATAAGCCAGACCCACACCCCTGCAGAGGAGCAGCAAAGGAGAGCGCCGGGGTCCTGGGGGTGCCAAAACTGGTGGCAAAACTGCTCCTTTGGCAAGGGAGAGACCAGTTCCCCCTCCCTGGCCCATTGCCCCTCGTACGAGAGCTGCGACAGCGGAACCTGGTGGCACGGGCAAAGAGCAGCGAGGCGGGTACGGAACAAGGGGACAGACCTGATTTTTAATTCCATTTCAAACGAGGGAGTGCAGGGCGTCACAGGCGGTGCAGACACCTCGGGGAGCTCCAACAAGAGGTCCATGGGGAAAAGGAAAGCCAAGTCCAGGCAACTGGGACACTCACGGGGGCAGGAGGAGGAGGAGGAGAGAGAAGCATCCTTGCTGGGCTGGACCGAGCCCAGGCACCACGCGCACCCATCACCACCCTGGGGACATCCTCAGCCTCTGCCGGGCTCAGGAGCAGGTTGGTTCAAGCAGGACCAGGGTGGCTTTGTGTTGAAGGGCAAGGAGCAGGGTTCTTGCAGCTGCTGCTCTGATCCCTGCCAGCCTGGGATGCTCCAGACCTCCCAGCCCTGCTTTCCCTGTGGGTACCCCCACATACTCCCTCCTCCTGGGAAAGGAGCTCTTTGTAGCCCTCTTTATCTCGGGAGCTGGGAAATGCTGTCAGAGCAGTGAGTTATTATTACTAATATAACTTTGTCTATAAAGTGCAATAGAATATAACAATTATATTTATAACTTTTTCTTTTTCTTTCTTTTTCTCCAAAATACTAAACAGATGCTATAAAAACCGGTAACTAATTGTGCTATAAACTGCAGGCTACAGGGTTATAACAAACAATGTATTGGTTTAGTCGTTGATATGTGTACATCGGAGCACTTTAGAAATGCTTTATTATTAGCATTTACCAAGGAGTTTCCTTCTCAAACAATTTGGAGGGGTAAAGCCAACCAGAGACCGGTAACGTGGACTCACACGTGTCCATAAATCCTGATGGGATGAGGTCAGGGCCATGAGGAAGCCCGGTCAGTTTGCCATGAAGGCGAGGGATGGGGATGGGTGCCACTGCCTGCCTCCGAGCAGCTGTGTTCCTCCATCACCTTTTCTCTTGGTTTTCCCTTATTTTACCATTTTGGAGCAAGGGGAATGGGGTTTGGGTGCCGGGGGTGGGAAAGAGGAGCAGGGTGACCCCAAACCCCCCAGCATTGGGCTGCAGGGCAGCTCATGGGGTATGAAATGCACTGAGTGGAAAGTGCCCCCCAGAGCACAGCGGTGCTGCTGTGGGATGGAAACCTGGAGTGGGGGAAGAGATGGAGCCAGAGCGCTGCGGAACACCTGCATCGCCTTTGTCACACCAGAAACCACTGACATGGATCACATCCATGGATCACATCCTGCTTTGGGAGGTGGGGATGCACTTCCCCATGTCCCAAAGGGAGCCAGAGAAGGAGGCACCACAACACCTCACCAGCACATCCTCCCAGCACCATTTCCTAACAGGAGCTGCCCTTGGCACCAGAAGACAAGGATGAGCTTCAATCTGGTGTAGAACAAGCTGGAAGATTAAAACCTAATAACGAGGCCTCCATTTCCTATTAGGGATAGACAGGGAAAAAAAAAAAGGAACGCAACTGGAAATCAAAGTCCAGGTCCCTATTGCTTTGGGGGATGCCTTCGCACCGCTGCCATCGCACATGGATGGAGGCGAGCATCCCGATGGGAAAGCCGGTGTGGGGTGATGGAGTGAGGGGCTGCCCTGGGGACACCGGGGGGCGGTTGGATCCCGCTGAGCCCGGGACACGAGGTAGCGGAGGGGTGACCTGCCCGGCAAGCAGCATTCCGGGGTTATTTGGTGTTCCACAGGCCGTGGGGAGGAGGAGCCTTCCTTGGCTGAACGGGGGCAGAAGGGGGACTCAAGGCCCTGGGGAAGCAGCACGCAGCACCCATGGGATGTAAGGGGCAGGATGGGGGCTGTAGTTTAGCGTTTTCCTCCCCCCCCCCCCCCTTTCTTGCTTTCATCCAGAAATTCCACCTGGAAATGTGACCCAACCGAGCCAAAAGAGAGCCCCTCTGACCCGGCCTCTTGCTGGAGGCTGCTCTGCCCTTAGGAGAGGAACCCCAGTTCTGAAGGGGGGACTCCCAGCTCCACTGTGCCGCAGGGATGGAGCCACGCTGGGACACAGGCACCGGGCAGTTCCCTTCCAGGAGGCAGGTGGTGGCAGGCAGCAGATGCCAGGGAAGGATGGACCCAACAGCCAACCTGTGGGTACCACCTGAGGCATCTCCTTTCCCTCCCCCAGTGCCATACAGCATGTCAGGCACCGCAGAGATACAAACCAGGACAGCTTTGACCCCGAGCGCCGGAGGCTTGGGGAGGGCTCAGTTTAACCACGGTCCTCCCTCACCCCTTGCTCTCTCCAGGCATCCCGGCCACCCTCCTGCCCATGGCATCACCCTGTCCAAGGTGCACTGTCCCCATATGTCACCGCAGGGTACCAGCGCTGGCGGGGCAGCAAACCCCGAGGTGCCTCCAGCACCGCTTCCACCACAACATCACCCCCATCGAGCGGTGACACCGGGGGAGCCGCGGTCCCCAAGGATGGGTGGCCACAATGGCACGGCCAGAGGGGTCCATGGGGGCCGGGGGGGGGCTCACATGATGGTGCATCGGTTCCTGCGCAGGGCGCCCTGGAAGCGGATGGTGGTGTGGACGTGCTTGCAGCGGGCGCAGCCCACGCTCTTGAGCAGCTCGCTGAAGAGCAGCAGGATGTGCCAGTTGTACTTGGCCGAGCACTCGATGTAGCCGCACTTCCACGTCTTCTTCACCAGGTTGGAGACGTTCCAGCGCGGGATCACCCGGCCCCGCTGCAGGTCCCGCTTGTTGCCCACGATGATGATGGGTGTCTCCGATGTGCCGATGACCCTGCGGAGAGAGCACAGAAAGGGGACAGGGCACAGCGTGATGATGGGCCCGCAGACCCCAACCCATCCCAAACCAGCTCTTGGCTTTGGCTTGGCAAGAGGGATGCGATTCCTCTTGCCTCGTCCCTCTTCGTGGCCAGCCCTGCATTGTGTCAGACCCAGTTGCTTTCTGCCCTCACCCACAGGTGATACCCGCCCGGGGTCGTAGAATCCCAGCCTGGTTTGGGTTGGAAGGGACCTTAAAGCTCATCCAGGTCCATGGGCAGGGACACCTTCCACTAGACCAGGTTGCTCCAAGCCTCATCCAGCTCCTTCTGCCCTCAGGTCCAGTTTTGCTTCAGGGCTCCCAGCCCCGCAGAGGGGCTTTGTCCCAGTCTGCAGTATCACATCCCCAGTGCCTAGAGCAGGGAAGCACTGCGCTGCGGGGGGATGCATCCCTACCTCGTCTCCAGGATCTGCTGGCGGATGGTTTTGATGTACTCGAAGCTGTCAAAGCAACAGATGTCATAGACCAGGATGTAGGCATGGACGCTCCGGAGCCCCCTGCAACACACGTCCGCCCACTCCTGCAAGGTGCAGAGAGGGATCAATCCTGGCTCGGCCCCGGCGCCGTGCCTGGGAGATGCCCCACACTGGGTGCCTGCTCTCCAGCACCCATCTCACCTCTGCTCTGCCCTCACCCATCCCTGCGACGCTGCATCTGCCCCCCACAGCCCTTCAGCCACCCCATCTCCAGAGATCCCTTCTTCCCCTCAGTAATCCATAGGAGAACAAATGGGATTTGCAGCCCTAATTCCTCTCTTGAGCAAGGATCGATGCCCACTGGTCCAGGGGTGAGCTGGGAGCGGGGCTGAATGCACCCCTTGCCCCGGATGTAAAAGCTTCATCCTCCAAAGCTGTAGTTAAGCAGGGATGCACCCTGGCTTGCAGGCAGGGCAGGCGAGGAGGATGCTGAGGATGCATCCCCATCCCTGTGGGTCAGAGGGGGAAGGTGACAGCAGGGCTCTTTGGAGGGGATATGGGGACAGGAGAGGAGCAGTGGCTGCTGTGGGGTCTGTGGGACTGGGAGCCGGGGCAGAGGCAGCAGGGGTGGCCTCTCCACAGCCCCAGTGTGGAGCTGTAAGGAATACACTTTGTCAGGGAAGCTCTGGGTTTCCAGAAATAGCAGGATTATTTTTTCCATGCTATAGGATCTGTCCCACTTCCAGCCACTTCCCCAGTGCAGCAGAAGTGCCGGGAATGGCAGCCCATGCTGACAGCACCACAAACCCTCCTGAGCACCACTGGAGATGCACCGAGGAGGAAAGGCATCACTTCTCCTGAGCAAACCTCTTTGGTACCATGAATCATCCCTTGCTGGGTTTATCACTGGGATGATGCAAAGCAAGACCTAGGACTGAAGGGAAGTGGGGAGAGGAAAGCTTTGGGCGCAGGCTGGTCTCCATCAATGACTGCAGCAGGGGAAGGAGCTGGGACACCGAGGGCAGGAGGTGCTGTGCAGCTCCTCGGTGTCACAGCGGTGCTGGTGGATGGAGCGGCAGCATCCCTCAGTCCCGGTACACCTGGGAGATCCATAAATTGCAGCTATTCCAGCACTCCGGGGCTGTGATGTCAGGATGGTTTTCCTTGTGTGGGCAGGTGTTCCGGGATGCTCCAGGCTGGAGGAGGGTCCCATGTGGGAGCGGGATATTGGGAAGCCACCAGCAGGGATGCTGCTCCTGGCCACGGAGCCTCCCAGCAAACAGAGCCGTGTATCCCCCACCGCAATCCTTTCCCCTTGGAGCCATCCTTGTGCCCAGCCTCTCTTCCCAGGAAACCTCCATCTGTTCCCACCGGCTGTGTCCTCTCGAGCCCAGCGAGGCAGGGAGTTAACGGAGTGTGGCAGCGTCGCTGCCGTGTCAGTACCTCACCCTTTGCTGTTCCGGGCTGCCTCTCGCACTGACCTTTCATTCCCTGCACACACCGATTAATCCTAAACCTCCTCCTCGCCCCTGGAGCTCCCCTGTCACCTCCCACCTGACAGCACAGGGCAGGAGCACTACAAGGCCCCATAACCCCGTCCCCATGGGGCACTGGAGTGATATCATTACACTGATTAGATACAAGAGAGAGCCCAGCTCCTATGGAGGTGCCCCATTGCCCTCAGCCACGGCTTCTTTCCCCACAGCAGTGGCACAACTTGTGCACTATGGCTTGAGCCTAAAATCCCCTTCTTCCCCATTAAACCCCCTTGAAGCAGCACTGGTGGCAAGGCTTTAGGACCCCATGCAGCCTTTTGGGGCTGTTCTGGAAGCACCTGAGGGGAGCTTGAGGAGGTGCTGGTGGGCTCAGTGCTCAAGAGATGTGGGGAGGTGACAATCACACCAGGAGGGGATGTGCAGCCCTCCTCTACCTGGCACGGGCAGTGCGTGCATCGGGGTCTGGATCTCTAGGAACCCCTGGTTCTGCCCTGAATGCTCTTGGCCGTGCTCCCTTTGCTGGTGCCAGCTCTGACTGGGATCCATCACCCAGCTGGATGGGACCGCGGGCATCGTTAGAGGAGCACCGTCCCTCCCACATTCGCCATCATTTTAGGTGAGAAAGCCTTAAAAGCCACATTATCCCAACCAAGAGCCACGAGGACGCGGTCCCTCACACCAGCAAGCGCAGGGAGAAGCATCCCCTGAAAGAGAAGGCCCCGGGATCCCCCTTAGAGAGATCAACCCCAGCGCAGAGGCCCCGGCCCTACCTGCAGGGTGTTGACGGGGAAGGCGGTGATGGGGGGGAAGTCCATGATCTGCAGGTCGTGGACGTGGCCGTTCATGACGACGGCGGGCAGGTAGACGCGCCGGGCCGTGGTGGGCACGCAGACCTCGCTGAACTCGTTGTAGAGGAACTGCCGCACTATGGCACTCTTGCCCACGCCCTGCGCTCCCAGCACGGCGATCTTGACCGTTGCCACCATGCCGCCGCCGCTGCCGCGAGCCGGCTGCTGCCCTGCTGCTGCCCCTGCGGTGCCGAGGCTGCATATTCCCACGCAGGGGGCCTCAGCCCCATTCAGGATGCATTTCCCCTGTCACTGCCAGGCCAAGGAGGACACGGTCAGATCCCAAAGGCACAACTGCAGGGGATGAGTTTCCCATGGGAAAGGGTTGAGCTGTCCTCGGGGAGCAGGAGCGTCCCCCAGGGCTTTGGAGCTGCAGTGTCCCCCCCTCGGGGGCTCCCACCCTGCAGAGCCAAGGATCTGGGTGAACTCCATGCCAGGAAGGAGCTCCATTATTCAACCCTTTTGGTACCAGAGCAAGAAAACCTCTAGGAAAGGGTCTGCGTGGCTCAGGGTTTGCAGCACTGGGGGGCTCATCCCACAGCATCCATGGGGACCCTCACTGGCTGCTCCATCCCAGTGCTGCCCCAAGCCAGGGAATCCATCTTCGTTCCGCTTGGACAGCTGGAATTGCCTTTTGCTAGGGCAGGGGGGGGAGATCGCTCTGTGCTGCAACAGCTTTAATGTTTAATTCCAGGCTTTGAGCAGTTTGGCAATTAACTTGATGGAGGCTAATTTCTGAGCCAGCTGACGGGGTGAGCCCATGAGCTGCTGGCGCATGTGTTGAGGCCAGAGAAACCCAGGCCAGGGCAACACAGGCAGGGGGGGACACAGGGTGATGGCCCACACGTAAGGATGAAGGAGCAGAATCAAGGAGCCCAAACACCTACTGGCCCCAGGTTCCCAAGCAGGGGCTATGATGGAAACAATGAGGGTGAGGGGCTGGGTCCCGCTTTTGCTTGCTCCCATCATTAGAAGCGGCTTGTACTTAATCCCAGCACAGATGCTTTCAGCAACGTGTGATGCTCTGGTCCGTTTTCCCTGCAAACCATCCCCAAAGCACAGGGCAGCGGTCCCTGAGCTGGCAGAAAGCAGCAGGCACAAACCACCCTGTCCTGACTGCTTGATGGAGGTATTTGCCCCAGGAGAGCTTGGACGTGGATGCTCTGGTTGCTGGGTGCCGGGATTGCTGGGCTTCCTGTGGTACCCCAAGCTGGGCCATGGCTGCCACCATCCCTCACCCTCCTCACAGCAAGGGCTTGGGGCTGGCAGGGCCTGACCCAGCCCCAGGGCAGCAGCAGGTTTGTGCCCTGGACTGGGTACCACTGCACATGCATGGCACATGGTGCTGGGAACATCCCCTGGGGTGCTGCTGCTGCCCTCGGGGACCCACTCACCCCAGCCCCAGGAGTGGTTCCATAGGGACACTGGGGTGCAGGAGCCCCCACACCGGCCCTGCTGGGGCCTTTCTCCACCCGCAGAAAGCACTGTCATTGCAAGTCCCCGGGGGCCACTCTGCTGCAGGGACAACCCCACAGAACCCCGCTCCAATGCGGGGCTGGAGGGCGATGGAGACACAGCCGAGACCCTCACCCCGGAGCGGGCTGAGCCACCCCAAAAACGCCGGCCCCCTCCGGGCTGGCACCCGGGGGCCACGCATGAGCCAAGCCGGCCCCAGGACGCTTTTGCACCCTACAGCATCGCATCCCGACCCGCCTGCCTCCGTGGGAAGCCGAGGCGCGGAGCAGGGACGCGGTGGGAGCGGGCGCCGAGGGGGAGGCTGCCCCGGGGAGGGGGCCCCGGCCCCGGCGCGACCTTGGGCAAGCGCTGCCCCCCGCAAGCCCTGACCCCGCAGCCGGGGGATGCTCTCCGCGGCGGCAGCGCAGCATCCGCGGCACCGGGGCGCTGGGGCTGGAGGAGCTCGGGGGGTACCGGGGACAAACGCACCCCCCAGGCCGGCGGGGATGGGGAACCGGGGAGCACCGGAGCTCAACTTTCGCTAGGGACCCCCCCCCCCCCTCCGGACCCGGCTCCCCCCCGTCCCCCGGCCCTGCCCAGCGGCAACTTCGCCCCTGTCCCCCCCCGTCCCCGTTCCCGGCGGGTCCCCCCCTACCTGGCAGCGGCGGCTCGGGCCGGCGGCGCCCCGGCGGGCGGCGGAGCCATGCGGCGAGCCCGGAGCGGGGCGGGCGGCCCCGCTGCAGAGCCCCGGCCCGGCCCGGCCCGGCGCGGCGATACCGAGGGGTCGGGCGGCGGCGGGGGAGCCCGGCCGGGGGCACGGGGCGGGAGGTGCCGGCGATGGAGGCAGCGCCCGGGGGGAGGCAGGCACCGCTCAGGCAGGGATGCAGGCGGCGATGCTCGGGAGCGATGCAGGCAGAGCCCGCGGAGGGAAGGGAGGCTCTGCCCAGGCGGGGATGCAGGGGATGCCCGGGGAGCGATGCAGGCGGTGGCCAGGCAGGGAAGGAGGCAGCGCCCGGGAAAGGAGGCAGGGAATGCCCAGACAGAGTCGCAGGAAGCCAGGAGGGACACAGCGGCTTCTCCCGGGGCTCTGGGGAGGTGCCGATGGGAAAAGACCCTCCCATGTCCCCCCTGCAGTGTGCTGGGTGCAACACCCTCAGCCTTGCCCTCGCCGGCGCCAAGCAGTGTCTGTGTCCTCATGCCCGATCCGTGGGACCCCCCAGGGCCAGACTCCTCTGAGGACGGGGGGTAGGACCCCTCCGAGGAGCCTTTCCCTCCTCCGACACCGCTGCTCCTGTGCTCTCAGGCACATCCCCTCATCCCCGATGCGCCAGACCCCTGGGCCGCTGTCCCTGGGTGCTGCCAGTGCCCACCAAGGGAAGGACACTGCTGCTGCAGTTCTGGGACACCCCACACCACGCATTTACCTGCAGGCCGGGTAGTGAGGAAGATGCTGGCCACAGCTCCGGGAGCCTGGTGCAGGCCCTCAGGACACGCTGCCGATGGGCTCCCTGCAGCTCTCTGCTCCTCGAAGCGGCCCCTGAGCCCCGCTGCAGGTCCCCCTGACACCACCAAGCACCAGGGTGTCCCCACGGCTCTGGCTGCGGTCACGGAGGCTTGGCTGAACCCAACACCGGCCACAGCACGGCTGGGCTCCCTCCAGCCTCATCAGCACCGGGAATAACATCACCTCCAGGGGGTCTTCTCCAGGGTGAGGAGGGGAAACACACTGCCGTGCCCTTCCTGGGGGAACAGGGACAGCAGACACAGCCCCAGGGCACAGGGGAACAAGGGCAAACCCCAGGGCAGCCTTTGTGCCACCCTACACCTCAAAGAGAGTCAGAGCCCCTTCGTGCCTCACATTACACCCAGGCTTTTCATTCGGGGCTCATTTCCCCGGGGAGGTGCCTGATGCTCACAGCTAGGGAGGTATTGATGCGTCCCTGGGGGTTATCACCAGCCCTAGATGCTGCTCTGCTTCCCCAGCTCCTCTCTCTGCATCGCCATAAAGCAGCCCGGAGCCCTGGAACATTGCTGGGAAAGGGCAGGGATCGCGGCTGCACAGGAACCCTCCCGCACAATCCAGGCTCCAGCCTCGGGCTATTTTTAGCAGCTCCCTCCGAGATGCTCTTCGCTCGCAGGTTTATGTGTGAAATTTAATATAGGAGGCAAGGGGGAGGGAGCGGGGCTGGATCCCGGATCCCGGCACATCCCCACTGGCTGCGAGCTTCATCCGACGCAAACCTAAACCCATCCATCAAAGAGCTCCCGTGTCCCGGCACGTGGTCGGCCCGAAAATCCTCTCCCCGTGCTGCATCATGAGCTCGGGGATCTGCTGGCACCCGGTGCTGGCCCTTAGCACATGTACCAGCATGGAGCAGGATGGGTGCAAGGAGCAGCAGGGGGTGGGGGAGCCCATTCAGCACAGCATCTTCATCCAGAGCACGCAGGGGTCCCTGCCCCACAGCGTGGGCCTCAGGAAGGGTGAAGGCCCCATCCATCCCTGTGGCAGTTGCCAGCTCAGAGAGCTCTGGTGGCCCCTGAGCTCCCAGCACCACAGGCTCATGCTGTTAATGAAGCAAACCCAGTGTGCAAGGTACTGGTGTGTCCCTGTTTACAGGCCACGCGCCTGCTGCAAACCCAGAGCACCAGGAAAGACCAATCCCTGCCCAAGGAACCTCTGCAGAACAGGGAAGGAGGCAAAACCCTTTCCCTTTGCCATGGGATGTGAAGGGGACAGCAGCCAGCTCAGCACAGACCTCAGCATCTTTCACCAGCTTTAACTGGGCCAAATGCTGCCCCAGGCTCAGCCCCAGCCCCACAGCAAGGAGCAGCCCCACAGTGGGCAATGACCACCCCATCCCACCCCAGGCACACAAGGGGATGCATGAAGGGACACAGCACCACCAGTGACCCCAAACCAGCCTCTCACTGCTGCTACAGACATACACCAGCTTCTAACACAAAACCATCCCAACACAGAGCACCCTCGGCCTCATCTCCAAGTGCCACAAAGGCAAGGCTGGGCAGGGCAAGGGATGCAGCTGCTCTGCTGCTTGTGGTGTCCCATTTCTGGCCAGAGGTTTTGCAGCCTGAGGCAGCACCAGCGATGGAAAAACTCTCTGGAAAACACCAGCACCAGGCCAGAGCAGTCCAAATGCATCACCGACTGTCCTGAGTCCATCGTTTCACTGCAGGGAAAGCTGGTCCATTACACACAGCCCACCTGGGGCCCAGCAAGGGCTAAATGGGTACATCCATCTCCTGCTCCCTGTCAGAGGCCCTCTGTGACAAGGTGCCAGTGCCCCCTGCAAGCAAGTGCCCTTTTCCTGCTGCCTTTTGAGATGCAAAGAGAGCAGCAGCCAGAGGCAGAGGATCGAGGATGACTGCAACCTCCTCGCCCTGAAAGCCCCTGTTTCTGGGGGGGTGTCTCCATAGAAATGGCTGCTGCAGTGAGGGCGAAAGGCTCCAGGGAGCAAACAGCCTCCTTCTCACGGAACGCAGCCCTCAGCCCTGCCTGCTCCCACAGGCAGTGCCAAAAGCACAGGACTTGGGTCCTCGTCCCAGCCCCACAGAGCCACGCGCAGCCACAGCATCGTGGAAATGAGTTTATTGACACGGAGGGCAGGTAAAGCCTGAAGAGCAACACAACTACGCGGCCAACGCTTGGATGAGCAGCGCGGTGGGAGAGGGCAACCACCGAGGGAGCCCAGGCTCTGCCCTGCAGTGCAGACACCCATGCATGCACCCAAAAAGCTGGGAAATCAGACAAGAGAAGGGGGTGCTCAGCAACCCCTCCTTGCATCAAAGCTACACCCTCCTCCCTGCCCCAACACGGCACCACACTCGGTGCCACCGGTGCTTCCGTACTTGCTCTGTGAATGACTGCTGCAGGATGCTCTGCAAATCACCTCCAGCACACACAGGCAGGGGCTCAAGGGCTGGATTGCTCCAGCCCTGCCCTACTTTTCCCCCAGCCAGAGCACAGGGGTTCCTAACACAGGGACATCACCTTCCTCGGGGTCCTGCAGCTCCAACCGGAGCTCCTCAGCTCTCTGTTGGAGCCTCTTCCAGGGCACTGTAGCCTTTTCCCTGCACTGACTTCCTGGTTGCAGACAATGCCAAAGCCCTGATGGACTATCTCCCACCATAAAACATGTATGGACTTCGAACGTGGCATCTAAAAAGGCAACATGGGGGTTGCTATGCGTAGGAGGCTTTGCTTGCTGGGGAGTAGATGGCATCAATGCATGCTGGGGAGGGCAAAGCCACTCTGGTTAGTGATACAAGCAGGACAAGCTATGGATGGAGCAAGGACATGCAAGAGGCTTTGCTTTCACTGCTGTTGCTGCAGCCCTTAGTGGTTGCAATGTGGCAAGTCCACAGGCATGGACTGGAAAGGGAAGCAGTCTTGGCCTTAAGGAGAGATTGGAAAAGAGGGACCAGGTCATGGGGCTGCTCAGGACACGGGGTGAGAGCAGGAACCAAAACAGCCTCTGTGCTCCTGTGTGTCTCTGGGCACAAAGAGCCAAGCTGCACATGGAAGAAACACTTCCACCATCTGCTGGACTCTCAGCCCAGCCTGAAGGCCCCAGGCAGGCAGGGAGCAAACACCATAAGCCCAAAGCATCTCCCATCACACCATGGCCTGGGTTTTGGGGGACGGCACAGGGAGAAGGAGCTCCGGTCCCTTTGGCACCCGAGACACTGCCAGCAGCCACCCCCCTGTGCAGGGGCACAGTTGGATTTACCACCACGAGCCTCAGGGGTTAGCGCAGCGCTGGGTGAAGGTGGCACAGCTCAGAGGACAGCTGAGAAGGCAGTTTGGCCATAGCAGGCACGGAAAGCACAAGAAGAGGGGCTGCAGATGGGTGAGGATGCAGAGAGCATACCTGGAGCCTTTTGCTCTCAGAGTGGGCTCTTTTCCTTCATTTCATCCACCGCTGGCCTGGTACCAAGCCAGGTCTGCAGCTTCTCCCCACACAAAAGCAGCCTCACTTCTCCAATCAGCAGCTAATGAGCCAGGGAGATGGCTGGAGTGAAAACACCATCAAAAGCAGAGCTGAAGCTGTGAGTGTAGTAAAAAACCCCTCTATAAGGCTCCATCCGCCTCCACGGACCAAACTGATGGCTCTGTTCCTAATGCCCCGAGGCTGCGCTCACCCTGCTAGAGCCTGACATCCCTGCAAAGCTCCCCCACTACTTCCTTGGAATGACCTTCCCTTTAAGCCAATTCCAATAGAAAAAACTCAAAAAACCAACCCAAAAGTATAAAAATAGAAAATAAAGTGCAGTGTTAACGTTTTCGACACTTTTCACCTTGTTTTAATGAGCCGACGGATGGGTTTCTGCTTGTCTCTTTTTCCCCAATGAGTTTACAAAACCGGAATGCCTACGCCTAAAGCCATTTAGAAAACACTGGACATTGGCACAAGATGGAGAAGCCCACGAGAACGGACAAGGAGTGAGGGGCGAGGGGGACGTGGGAGTAGTCGAAGCAGTGGTTACAAACTCCATGGACGCTAAAAATACCAAAGGGGTTTGTTCCCTATCATCGTTAGCACGTGGATACTAATTGCTACCTTGAATCAGTGCCTTTGACTGACATCCTACACATGAATACAGCTGCTTCCAGTTAAGAGTGCTTTCCCCTGCGCTAGTGGTGAAGGAGGATCTGGGCACCCCTTTCTCCCGGCCTCCTTCCGCAGGGTGAGGCACAGGCTGATCTCCTGTTAGTTCTTCAAGATGGCATCGTAGGCCTGGTAGATGTACTGGGACACTTCGGGAGCTCGGCATTTCAGGGAGAGCTGCAAAGAGGAGAGGAGAGGTTAGCGGTGGTGCAAGGGGAGGCAGGAGCTTCCTACCGTCTCCAGGAAGGCAACTGGAAACATCTGACCTACAGCATGGGTTGCACGCACCATGGACGTGGCTGATGGCAGTCAACCTGAATATTTCTACTTCGTCACCAAACTGCCTTTTCAGAGCTTGCTACAAGCAAGAGGAGGCACATGAAAGCAAACTCCCACTGTGGGCTTCCCAAACTCCTTAACAAATGTATGCGCCTCTGCACGCATGAAGGAAGGAGATGACGCCCCAAATCTGAGACAAGGGACTCGCTTGCTCTCATGCCATAAGTCACAGCACTAAACCTGGGGGCTCACTCCTGATGGACACAAAGCTGGCTGCTGTCAGCCCTCTCTAAGGCAAGGGTCAGGCCGAGACCAGGTTTGCAGCATCAATCCTTGTGCAAACACTTTAAATCACC